GCAGTATAGGTCTTATTTCAAATGGCCACTTCGAGTTGGGATCCTTCCCTGGTTGGAAAAACCAAACAATGTAGTTCAGCTTTCCCCCGCTGCAGTCAATTTGCTAAACAATGGATGAAAGTTTGATCATGAGCTCTTTTCCATCTTTCTCTTCGAACAGAGCTGATAGTGAGGAGGTACATCTAAGTAAGGTGAAAATGTGACAGGTGATTCTGTATGGACGCACCGTTCAGCACCAACCTTTCATTGCGAACTGCACTTTCGAATGAACTTTTGGCTTTTTTGAAGTGCAAGTACAAAATGATTTGTTCCGATTATTGAAAATTGGGCTGGGTTTCCACGTATCAATTGGCACATTCACGATGAGCGCGAGTTTCTCAAGTGCGTCTCCCAACAGGCGTCTTTTTCGCTGGAGAGCCATATGGGCTGCCACCGTCCAGCAAAGTGCAAACTATGAAGGACGACGAACTTAGTCAGTGCTTCAACGCCCTAATGCTTATAGTGACGAGTAGTTGGAAGAGCTCGCAGTGGATTACGATGATGTCCTCGTTGTAAACGATGATGACGAAGAATCGGATGATGACGCACCAGAAGGACGTATTTTGACAACTACAGCTGGTCGTCTGATGTGAAGAAGTTTCCTCCATTCTTATCTGAAAAGGAATCGGCTATTGTAGGAAACAAATATTGTTGAAGAACAATGACACTACCTGCAGGGAACCTGCAGGTAGTGTCATCGTTATTTAAAGGTCTTCCGTCTTTTTTTTCTGAAGCACGAGCTGCTTGCTTCTATTGTGCAGGAAACTAATCGGTGCAACAAGAAGTGATGCAATTCTAAGGTCTTTTATATGGGACTATTGAAGATGCCTACGTTGTGCCATTACTGTTCAACAAAGGAATCATGAGCCAGAAACTTTCTAACCCTTGGTGAAAGGCTGCTATGGCTGCTACAAACGCATAAGTTCGAACTCAGGCAGAGAAGAGGACAGGAAAAGTGTTTCTAGAGTTTATAATGATGTTCTCTTTGCGAGAAGTTTGTTTCTTTGCGTTCTTTCAACTAGAAACACCGCGGTTGTTAAGTTGTTTGGGTAAAAAGGTCACCTAAAAATCTTTCTTCGTCGACGAAGACCGTATGTACGCTGTCGAGAATATTCAAAAGAATATGATATAAGCAAATGACAGGCAATTATAACATGGCAGCCCATATGGGCTGCAACCGTCCAAGAGCACATGCTGGCTGCCATCGGCGTGAATGTGTAGAAGAGCGTTCAAAAACTTTACCAGAGATTCTTTATGAGAACGCTCGACAGAAAGAATAAGCTTTTAATAATTTCGTTTGAGCCTGTTCAACTCACCAAGAAATTCTTATACGGTAAATGCATACTAAGTTCAATGCGCTTTCGATGCTTTCATTCAAAAATGAGAATCACATGTATGAAGAAAACCTCTTAGTTTCACTCATGCCGCCCATCTGAACGATGTCGCTGAAACTAGTGTAATCAACATGTGTGTTTCACCAAATACATTTTTTCCGTCGAATAACAAAGTACAACATTTATCGGTTGATGATAACTGACGGTAGACCACGATACTACACAATTACAAGAGCAGATTCGAATATTTCGAGGGGAGGAATGGATGGATGGATGAATGATGAAGAAATGATGTGAAATTAACAGACGCTAGTGATTTGTGAGATCAGTAGTGGAACAACAACGGGCGACGGTGAACGATCTTATGCGACGCACGTCACAGTATAGATGAGGGTTTTGACTGTGCACAAAACGTATGACAAACATTTGCTCTTCTTCATTCCATGTCTTCGTAGCCATCGAATTCATATTCTCCCCGCTTGCCGAATCGCATCCATTTTGCATCTGGTGTCCTTTTACCAAATCTGGAATTATACGTACATAACCACAGAACGCTGGCATAAGTCAGATCAGGCTAGGCTTATTACAAGTGCAAAAGGCACATACGGGAAAAAATATATGTGAATTACAGAAAAATCAAGCAACATCACCAGAACTACAAAAAAACCGGCTAAGATACCCAACATTAGGGGAGTTATGAAAGCAGTTCTTTCATATTTCTGCACCCGATCTTTTTACTATTTTGTTACTTTCTCAACAAGTTATCGAGCACCCTGACATTTTTCTAACTGCGTAAGGGCAAAAACTAAGGCAAAGGGACTTTCGCATTCATGGGATATGCGCTGCTTTTGGAACACATTTTCTTTGAAGCGAGAAGCAGTTAAAAGATTGATTTTTAAGAGCTCGAACACATTTTATTTGTATGTATAACAAGGAACCAAGTATTGAAGCTCACCGCATCCATTTTGCGTTTGGCGATCGTTTTCCAAATCGCATCCATTTTGCCGAGGGTGTGCGTTTGAGAGCGCGCTCCTGAAATATTTTATATGAATTACCAGTCACTTGCATAATTTCCACGACCTTTGTCCACTGGTAGGATTAGATGGAGTACTACGATCTACGATGACAGCACAACCATCTTTCAACTATTCTCGTCAGTCCTATTCCCCACTTCATTCACTACATGATGAAACTCCCAAATCTGCGCGATCAACACGACGACGTAGGGCTAATTAGAATTGCATTTATTTGAATTCATGCTTCATGGTTTTCAATGTGTCCCAACAGATGAATATTGGGGCTTTCGCCACTGTGACGCACATGGATGATTCGAATGCCTAAATGAATTATTCAGAGGTTTTTGCTATTGAATGCTGCTGACAGCTTACATCTAATTTGTGGAAAACAATTATCTTGCATAGAAAAGTTTTGGAAATCTCATCATTTTCAAATTATATGATGTTCCGATGCAGCCTGAATCTGGCACACGGAAACATTCTGGGAAAATAAGCAAGTCTGGAAAAGTGGCCTGTTTGATCTGACAATACTTGACAAGAACAAATAATAACATAGTTTTCTGTAGATTAATCCGTAGGAAGGATCCATAGTCATTCCATAGTTCGCGTACGGATCCATGTATAAACCACTCATCTTGGTAGAATCTGAAGCTTGCCGATCGATCCTCGCTGATACGGAAGTCTCATCAGTTTTAGGAGTAGAAATCAAAATAAAGAATCCTCAGCAGCAAGAAGGAATGGGGAAAAAGGCTGTGGCACCAATGGAAGAAGGACTGATTCTTTCTGCCTCGTAATTACTACATACTACTGCCATTTACCACCGAAGTGGGCTGAGTGATTAAGAGGTGATCATGCAACATGCGGTTGATTGAATACATATGTACTCTCGGAGCAATTGAAAGGACATCATTGTGCTAAGATAAAGCAAGAAATTATATTACTTCATATTATTACATGCCCGTCGGACCGCCTGGCTTACGCCCGGCTTCCCCTTTCCCGTTACAAAGTCGGAACGTACAGTTGACCTTCTGCTGCTCTTTTCGGAACACAGGATTATTTCTGACCACAATTTTTCAAAACGGAATACATCCATCACGAATTGAACTCGAGGCACATACGCTTAGCGCTCACGCTTACGGAACCTTCTTCTGTGCCCTTGACCCCAGCAGGAACTATTCAGAAAAATTCAATTCAATAAATTTTCCACCTTGTAAGCTTTTTTCATAACTTCGATATCAGAGTTGAGAACAAGTTTCCTACTGGTTCTGATAATTTCTCTACTAGTATTCCAAGAACATCCCCTGAACAGAGATCGAATATTCTGTATAATGAGATGTTGCTCCGAACTAGAAAACACACCCGCAAAATCTGTTGTGATCTTTACAATCATGTGGTGTATATTTTTCTAAACACCATATTGACATGAGTAATGTGAATAGCCCAATAAAAATTAATGACGCTGTTTCTGCTTCTACTGTGCACAGCACTGTCATATTTCATAAAGTTGTATGTATAACAATGTATAAAGAAGGTTTCTGTGATTACCCCAGGAATGAACATGAAGCACTCAAGGATAGCACAAAGGGGCATTGTCGGGTCAAAAAATCGAGAGGGCGTTATGAGGGCTCTAGAACCGGCTCGGCCGATGTACACACCCAAAAAAGGACGTGTTACGACGCCCTCGTTAAGGCTGTACCATTCAAAATGGAGCTTTAGATTGGATGAATAGTACGCTCACGTGGGAGGCACTCAGGCGGTTACGTACACACAAACTCAAACTAACCTTTCCTTTTCAGCTTTCTCGATACTTTATATTTTTTAAAATTCACCGATTTCCGGAGCTTCTTTCGCCATTTTTGCTCTATTCTGCATCATAGTTTCCATTATTTAATTTAGTCCAGCTACCTCAAAATAGTCGTGAACTGTACATTTATTTCTGTTCCTTTTTTCTATAAAGAAGTCAATAAAGTGTTTTGCCGTTATTTTAACTTCTACAGTATTCATTCGATGTTCATTCCCTGAAAGCCGAAACTTCCTAAACTACACATATTCAGATGCAGCGGGCCTAGTTGCTCTATGAATGCTTTTGTCCATATTAAGCCAAGAAAACTTAGAGGATCACCCGCAGAGAGACAGGTGTCCGTGGTTGTCTCCTGCACACCACATTCCTCTGACCACTCACCAACCAATTACTATTGCTTCTGTCGATTGTTCACTCCAGAAAGGGAAGAACCGGGACTTCTGATCATCTCAAAACAAGAGTAGTTTGTAGGTGATTGGTCAGAGGTTATTTGTTAGTGAGTTGTTATAGGCCTTCTGTTATGGTACGCATCAAAGACAGCTCAAATCCCTAGGAGAAGTATGCATCAAATTGCATACGAGCATGTAGATTAAATACCAGCGGTGTTAAACGCTTTGCCCATTACTTCGATGGCGAAGTATTCCGATTTGATCTCTGATGGAAGTCTTCTCATGTGTGCTATATAGTCGCCCATCTCAAAAATGTTCCTTCGAAAAAGAAATTTTCGGACGTCGACGGCACCATCTAATTCCGCTTGACAGTTTCCAATCTAATAAGTGCAAAGGGAGAAGAAATTTCATGCGGAACAGATACATCGGATCAGGCCCCTATGGAAGATAGCTTATTCATCTTGATGTGGTTAAAGTTTACCAAACAGTGAGCTTCATGATGAAAGCTACCGCTAATAACCGCTCAAAACGGCCTGAGTTCAACATTATTCACCTGGGCCCAAATANTCTCATAAGGAGGGTTTTATGATAATTTTGAAGTATCTAGTTCCAGACGATTAGTTGAAATGATAGTCAAAGAAGTGGCATAGAAAACGCAGAGATCGGTGTATTCAAAGGAATCCAAGGCTTTGAGAAAGAAGTAAAATTGAGGGGTTGGACGAGAATGTGACGACGGAAGCTGTATGGATGGGGTATACAAGCTGTTCAACTGTGCCATTGCATACATCTGGCTACAGTAAGCTGCCTGCGTACAAGGTGCGGGTCCGAGCACGAATGATGCAACCTGTACAGATTCTACCTCTACAGGTCTCGAGGACTCGTCTGTCTTGGGTGTGCAAGTCGGACAAATCGGTTTTGGGGCTCTTATTACGCCCTGTTTTAGCCGTTTTTCGACCCGACAACGTCCATAAGGTCATCTTAGGGAGTTACAGATTCCTCTTGGGAATAAATCTCAGAAACCATCATTAATATAAACTGTGTCTTTAAAAAGCTGGTTTGCGAATGACTGAAAAGATATGCCATTGATATTGTGGCGAGCTAAACGAGCCCTAACAATCACTCTGATAGGTTATTCTCTCAATAGAGACTCAGAAGTCCTAGCGATTTATGGAGTCCATTAATTTGGGCCCTTATTTCCTATCCAGGATTTCCTCAATCAACTGGAAGGCTCATTGATCATTGCTGTTCCAAGCTCGTTCATTACTGCATGTGTATACGTACTATGTTTCAACGGCTTTTGAATGAGCTAGGCGTCACAATATATGCCAAGAATGGACAAAGGAATGAGAGTAGGGTCCAGCATTCAGTGACCCCTTCGAATGGCCGTACTAATAAGTTCCGAAACCGTGAAATATTGAATCATCAAGAATGCCTGGTAAGTATGTCGAACACCTGACAGAGTCCTAGTCCTAGCAGAAGCTCCACGTCAATAAGAACAAAACAGGTTGACAGGTAAGGTGAAAGTTTTTTAGCTTGGTTTTCATATATTTGAAGGTCTGCTGGGCTAAAAAGTAGGTAAAATGTATAATACTATTATTATGATCACTCCAGGAACCGCACGTAGCCTGCAAGTACCAAAAAATGGTATCCCCAGTTTCCATGACGGCGATGCTTTGACTGATTGGGAGTGAAATGGACCTACTGCGAACAGGGAAATCAAAATATGAAGTCCAATCGTGCAGCGCGGAAACCTACTGCTCTAAAGCCTTCCCTAAATATTTCCTGTCATTCTGGATCTAGAAAGCTGTGATAATTAAAGACCCTCCGGAAGAAGGATGAGATTAAGGAATTCCCATGGAATAGGATTTTTTCAGTTCTTCATCTCGATTCGATTCAATTAATTCTTCTTAAGCATATTTACCTGCACAGGGTTCCCTAACCCCTCCCACCTTCAAAAGAGGTAATGACAACGAACATTTTGATGGGCAGTAGAGAGCGTTACTACTACTCGGCCTATTCGCAGCTTACGCTTTTACGCCTGCCTGCTTACCATCTGACGCACGACCAATATGTCATTTCTACCGGGCTGGGATTTTCATGCGTCACCCGCCAGAATGCAAAGACCCCTTCCATGCAAAAGACGGACTCATTTATTTATTTATTTATGGGGCGTCTAGTAGATGCACCCTGACAACAGAGATAGAAATCTTATACAAGGAGTTGGCAACACGTAAGGGTTTTCGTATGAGCAGGGAGACTGACCAGTGACACAATATCGACAGCTATCGCTCAATCTGCCTGCTATCTCTAATCTCTAAACTATTAAAAGGGTTATCTCGAGAGGATTGGCAGAACACTGTACGAAGGGCAGCTGCGTGAGCATGTACTGTTACGAAGGAAGCTCAGTACTATCCTCCGAATCCACACAGACACAAGACTCAGAATTGTCGTTAGAATATAGAGTGTGTATAAGATCTTAATGTCACACGCCAGGGGACAGACCTGTCCCTACCGAAACAGAAACACATCCGGCCTTTAGGCATCCAGGATGTTTTTCTCAATAGTAGGACACTTCACAGTGACAATACACAGTTACATCGAATCCTCTTCCAAATCTCACCTACAAGGAGGACCTTATCATCGAACGTGAACAGATGAATCTGGCAGGGCGGTACCATCTCGCCCAAAATTTTCAAAATTGTGCGGCAGTGTTAGTTGGAAGAGAAGGTCCCCGACCGACAGTCATGCAGACCGCAATCTGTCTACTGCTCTCAAATTCGATGAGGGAGGAAGGAATGCTAGCTGAACAGGCAGGATTACAAGAATATGAGATTGCAATTAAAGAGGTGCACTCTAGTCAGT